GGGCTGCCGGAAAGTGGCGCGGATGACGGGGGGACATGCCGGGGCCGACTTGACGATGGCGTCCAGCAGCTCGCCCAGGTAGGACTGGAGGTGCTGGCGGCCCTGCTCGATCACCTCGCCCTCCGTCTGCACCCGGTGCAGCCCCGAGCACCTGCAGGCACCGGCACCGTCAGCCCCACGGCCGGGGCACCCCCCGCCCTGCCGCCCCGCGTGCCCCTTACCCAACGTCCTTGATCTCCACCTTGCCGGGGTCCAGCTCCACATACTTCCTCTCCTCGAACACACGGGTGATGGTGGGTCCCAGGACGGCATGCAGGTACGGCAACCCCGTCACCTGCCGAGGGACCGCACAGGGGATGGCGATGGGGGGCACAGCCACAGGTTTGGCACCCGACACCCCCGGACTCCCCAATAAGGGTCACCCAGGGGATCTTCTCCAACCTCCCAGCCCCAGGGGAAGACACGGCCCCACCAGCCCTCCCAGTTCCTCCCCCCGGGAACCGGCCCCAGTGGGGAACAGCCCAGAGCCAGGGTGACCTGGGAAGAGCAGGTTTCGGGTGGAGTGGCACCTTGAGGAAGGACTCCATCGACTTCGAGGCCAGGGAGTTGCTCCGGAACAAAGTGTTGGGCTCGCCTGCAAAACAGGAGAGGGTCCGTGGCCTGGGGGACGGCCACAGCTCACCCACCGGGCAGCTGCAATCATGGGGGGCATTTACAGGGGCTGTGCCCTCCACCCCAGCCATTTCCATGGGAGTTACGGGGATTTCCTAACCTCAAACCACCTGCTCCTCCACCAGCCTCAGCCAACCTCAGCCCGTGAGTTGCTCGGGATGAACCCAACAGGTTCCCACCCGGAGCACAGCGTGATGGCTGAACCTCAACCGTCACCCCCCCCAAAAAAAAAAAAATCACCGCGCAAGGTCCCGGAGGTTTTGCAGCCCCAGGAGGTGGTTGGAAGCCTCCGGCTCCGCTCCCCGCCCCAGCCTTACAGGGCTTGGCCAGCTCCAGCTCGAAGAGCAGGTCCAGGAACTCCTTGACCAGCCCTTGGCCCAGGAAGAGTTTGACCAAGTTGACGGCGACCTCCTGCCGGCATTCGGCCGTGGTGGTTTCATCCAGGAGCGTGACCAGGTGCACTTGGCCATCCTGGTGGGGAGAGGCACCACGACGTGATGGCCCGAGGGAGACGCATGCCCCGGCAGACAGCGGGAGGAAGGTGGGTGCCCCGGGAGGGCTTTGCATGGACCCCTCACCTGGCGCCCCGACTTAACCTCCTGGCACAGGAGCTGGACCAGGGGCTGGTAGCAGTGGGAGGGCAGCACCGTCTCGTCCCGCAGCCTCACCTGCAGCTGCAGCGAGCCCAGGCTGCCTCGGCGCCTGCAGGAGCACAGGGTGGGTGAGTGGATGGAGGGATGGAGAAATACCTCACCAAGCAGGAGGTGGCCCGACAGCCCGGGAAAGCTCGGGCAGGCAGGTGGGGCTGCCCTGCACTTGCCGCCCCTCTCCCAGACAAGGGCATTTCCAGGAGCTGCCCCTCCAAAGGGATGCTGCTTCCCAGGAATAACCTCCTCCCCAACGCCCCTGCGGGCACCGGGACCACCCCGGCACACCCCAACACCCCCGTGCGGAGACTCACTCGTCCTCCCTCGGCTTGGACTTGTCCGGCCGCAGCCTGAACCAGCCCTCCTCCTGCCCGGCCGCCTCCAGCCCCTGGACGCTGAACACCACCTGGGAGGGGAAGATGGGGGGGGTGGGCAGGGCAAGGGCGGGCAGGCGGGCAGGCCCCCCGGCAGCGGTGACGGGGTCTGGGGGCTCACCTTGCCCAGGAAGTCGTTGCTGCCGACGAGGTCCCAGTCCCACACCTCCACGCACAGCTTCTCCCCGGCGGGCTCGGCCAGCTCGAACTCGAAGGTCTCGTTCCAGCGGGGGTAGCAGGATTTCTTGACCACCTGCAAAGGCAACGGCTTCACCCCCCCCCTCGCCGGGTGGATCCAACACCCCCCCCGGGGGACACCAAGCTGGGGATGCCGCCGGGGGACAGGGATGGCTCCTGGCCGAGGTCCGGGCTTCCCAGTGGGATGATTCCACCTGCACCGCCGGCAGTTTGGGAATCACGATAAACTGAAGTCGTACTCACGGTGCTCTCCTGCGCCTTCCCGTTGTAGCGCAAGCGGACGAAGGGGTCGGAGGCGCCGTTCCGGTCCTTCCTAGCCAAATCCCTGCCGAGAAGAGGGGCAATTTGCCAGTATCCTCCCAAAATACCTATGGGCACCCACGGCACCCACTCCCCTCCTCGGTTCCCCAGCATCTCGAGATGCACCCCCTAAAGACCAGCAGACAAGGCAGACCCTGCCCCAGGACCCCCATCAGCTGCTGGATGGTAGGGAGGACGCTCTGCACCCAAGGGAGGATAACTGAGAAGACCCTGATACAGTGGGGAAACTGAGTCACGGAGCAGCCAGGACTCACCGTACGCATCCCAGCTGCACACGCAGCCCCCTGCCGCCCCCGTGTCCCCTCCTCACCTGGCCTCCAGCACGGTGCAGCGCAGCCGCCGGCCGCCCTGGCTCCCCAGGGCCTCCACCCGCAGATGGATCTCCCCCTGCACCTCCTCGTCGGGGTCCACCTCGCTGAGGCTCACCCAGCCGCTGTAGCCTGTGGGAAAAGGGCAGGGGGGGGGCTCATGGCCAGGGTCCTTGGGGTGGCCCTCGGGACCGGCTCCTCGCAGGGGGGGGGGAAGGGTCCCCGGACCCTCCCGGCCACCCGTCCCCCTACCCTTGGGGTGCTCCGCCAGCATGTCCCGGGTGATGCAGACCTTCCCGATAACGTCATCACGGCTGGAAAACAAAAGCCGGGAGCAGGACACGGTGTGGGATCGGAGCCTGTCCGCTCCACCGGCCCCCAGGCAGGACGGCCCCTGCCGCGCGTTTCCGGGGGGGACAAAAGGGCGCCCGGGTGTCCTGAGCTGGGGCCACCACGATGTGCCTGTCCCCATGGAGCACGTCAGCCACCCTTTGCTGCCAGCTGGAAAATAACCTCGGGAAATAACTTCATCCGTTTGTGTCCCAAAGCCCAAGCCAGCACGACCAGGTGTGGATTCTCTGGTGTCTACAATGGGGTTGAGCATGCAGGCAGCCAAAACCACCAACCTCCGAGTCCCCATGCTGAGCCCCCACCACCCCGCAGCCGACCTGCCCATACCTGAGCGCATCCTCATCCATGACGTAGATGGAGACGCTGTGAAAGGGGGGCTGGAGGTGC